ACACACAGGTGTAAAACGCATCATTAATGTTTTGTCCATCACCTTCTTAAGTCTAAATAATTAACAAGATAAACGTTCTGATTTATCTCATTTGCTGATTTCGGAGATAGACAACCTCATGTTGAAAATTTAACAATCAGGGGGCAGCTAGGTGGCGCAGTGGATAGAGCACCAGCCCTGGATTCAGGAGGACCTGAGTTCAAATCCGGCCTCAGACACATAACGCTTACTTGATCCTGGGCAACTCACTTAACCCCATTGCCTAGCCAAAAAAAAAAAAAAATTAACAATCAGAGCTAATTCAACTGCCCCTAAATGCCCCTATCACAGCCTTTATTCTGGACAATATGATTTCCTAATGCAAGCTAAGATCTTGTGTATTTGCAAAAACACATATCCAAAACAAATAGAAAATGACTGAAATCAATAGTTATATGCAGCTCCTACTTTCCAATTCATATATACTCACCTGGAAGCTTCCTTGATGTTGTAATGTTGATATTGCTGTTGTTGATATTGTGGCTGCTGTTGCCATTGTGATGTTTGTGTTTTAACTAACAGTCATCCATGAGCACTAGACCTAGTAAATTGTAACTCTCTCCGAAAATACCTCATGAGAGCATCTCCAAGACAGGGTGGATAAAAATAAAAACTAAAAGAGGAAAAGACAATAGCATACTGATTTGCATTAGCTAATTAGAAAATATCATTTTGCCTGTTCTCCTGTGCCTTTTTTTCCCACTACACTTCAGACTTCCTCTTTAATGTTCAAGTCAGAAATGATTTATTTAGTGTATAGTTAGAACGGAAAGACTCAAAGGAATATTGTCAATTGATTTAGCCCCCCCCCCCCCCCCCCCCCCGTTTAGCTCTGTGGAGGCAGGTGAATCCTGTGTCAGATCCTCAGAGATTGCTTTCAGAGAAGAAAGTACTGAGGCCCTGGTATGTTGAAGAAGGCTATTATGTTCCAATAAGCTTAGATTGAAGTTTTTAATCTTGATAGTCAGACCCAAGTCTCCACATTCATAGGTGCCTGAATATGTTTTCTGGGAAAACCCTGTTTAGATCTGTACATTTTGAAACATTTCCTGAGAGGAAAAGGCACTCTCATCCAGGTGTGCTGCTCCAGTCTGATGTACTAACTCAAGAATACATAGAAGTACCAATTCTATTCATTTGCATTAGGTTTTAGAGGTAGAAAACTTTATAGACTTTTTTTTTCATAATGGTCAGGCTGCTAAGGGGAGTTGTTTCCTTTTTTTTAAATAAAAAGTACCTATGCCTAGTCTTCCCATCCCTCATATCTGTTCTCTCCATGAACACAAACTTCCTAAGGTTCATTTCCTTTCAAGTCACAGTCTAAAGAGGTAATAATGCTTGCTTCTTTCCAGTCTGGTGGGAAAATACCCTGAAACCAGAATAACCTTATCTATTCAACATTCTGGGGAGGGATTGGACTTTCTGTGACACTGGGAACTTTTTAAAAAAATGTTGTAAAGGACTTTAATACTCATCACTAATACATGACTCATAACCATAACTTTTAGACTTATCCATTTTCAGTACATAAAATGTTAATGGTAGATGTATTTTTGAAGAGTAGCACAAAGTAGCAACCCTATTGGCATTCTCATATTGAAGTATGGGCACAGTGTCTTCCTGTGCTAGCCTGAGTTGGGTTTGAGACTTCAGTATCAACAGATTGGCAGCCCTGCTTGAAACTTGCTCCTGCTGGGATCTAGAGCCCATTTCTCTGATGAGCTCAAGATACTTCCCACTTAACTTGACTGAGGCACAACTTATCCCTCCCAGGTGGCCTTGCCTGCCAGTTCTTGACAGCCAGTTTGTAGCATCTCCTTGATCTTCTCTATCTATGACTCTTCACAGAAAGGCCTACAAAGAAGAATAGCAAAACCTGATGCTATCAGCGCTCATTCTTGGAATCCTCAATTGCCCTGCATGGTCACAAACCTGGCAGTGACCTCCATCTTCCCAGAAGTGTTCACTGCCCAATCAATAGTTCTGCTTAGGACATATAACGTTATGGAAATGGACTCCTTCTTCTCTTCCAAAGAGCATTAGTGCTCTGGGCCCAGGCATCCTGGGAAACATAATCCTTTTCCAACCCAGCCCTGGCACTTATGACAGTATCATATGGAAAGAAATTAAATTAGTGAATAAAAAAATTGACCTATCTATCTTCACAGAGAGGCAGATTCTTATTCTTTCTGACAGTCTTATTTCATCAGAAAGTATGGACAAATTTAATTTGTAATTAACTTCAGAGTTACCTGAGTTTTTGTATTTGCATCTCTAGTGCATAACAAGTCAACAAATCAAATAAAGTCAACAGGCATTTATTAAGCATTCACTACGTGCCGAAAACTATCCTAAACACTGGGAATACAAAGAAAGGCAAAAAGAAGTCCTATCCCAAAGGAACGCACATTCTACTAGGGGCGACAAAGTGTGAACAATTGTTTGCAAGCACCATATATAGAGATTGAGGGTGGCCTAAAGATACTCTCAGAGGGAAGGCCCTAGCACATAGCAGACCCTTAATGTTTATTGGATGAATGAATAGATGTTGCTGAATATTTTTAGGTAAGAAGTTTCACAAAATGCTAGCTATGGGGAAGAACAGCTTTGGTAGCCAGAAAACATCCATGTTGTACGATGTGTACAGGGCTCAGTAACTGGATCATTTTATAGAATAGGTTCAGTCCACTCCTGCCTAGGGTAAGGGCTGCTCTTCAGTATGAAGTGAAAAAGTGTATTTTCCTCATACTAATTATTGTTCTTAAATTGTAGAACACATAAGTTGTTGTTATTCAGTTGTTTTAAGATGTGTCCTACTCTTTGTGACACCATTTGTAATTTTCTTGGCAAAGATACTGGAGAAGTTTGCCATTTCCTTCTCCAGCTCATTTTATAGATGAGGAGACTGAGGCAAACAGGTTTAAGGGACTAGGACAGAATTGCACAGGTAGTAAGTATCTTAGGTCAGATTTGAACTCAGGTCTTCCTGACTCTCAGACTTGGAGCTCTATCTACTGTGCCACCTAGCAGCCCTAGAGCATGTAAGTACAGTTTGGCAAATATTAATGCAGAGGACAGTATTTTCCATATTTTTGAGGTATATGGAACACTGAAAAATTGGGGTTTTTTTTGTTTTGTCTTTTGGTAATCCTACTAATAGTTCAGATTATGTAATCTAGTGGTTAGACTAAAGGTCGAAAAGTCAGAGAGACCTAGAAATTTAGTTTCTCATTTGTTATACAACTCTATACTGGTGTCATTGTCTCTTGCTTCTTACCTAAAAAAGTGACTGGTGGATGCAATTTCCCACTTTTTAAAAAAAATATGGTCTAGTAACTCTTGAAGAGGTATTTTGAGGTCTTTGAAGAGCAGATGCTTTGGCTACAGAGTCAGAAAAATCCTAATATTCATACAGAGCTACTGATGTTTATGCTTACTGTAAAGAAAACCTTGCCTCACTCAGGACCTTTTTCCTCTGGACAAAAAACAAATTCTAATATCTCCTATAATGATATTCTGCTAATTTTCCTCAAATATAAGTATGTTAGGCCTTTTCATTTTCAAAGAGAAAAAAAATGCTTCCAACTATACTGTCACCATGAGAAGCAGTGTGCTGGTGTGTCTGAAGTTAGAGGACCTGGGTTTGAATCTCAGCTCTGCTAGTTACTATCAATATGACACTGGACAGAGTTGTTCAACATTTCTAGCTTTATTTTGTTCATCAAAGTCGAGGGTTGGAAGAAAATGCTTTTAAGATCACATCTAGCTCTATAATCCAGGAAAATAAAATGTAAGCAACGGAAATCAGCCTCCATTGATCTTGGGTCAATTAGCCTTCCTGTTTTTCTTTTGATCTGAGCTAGAAAGGGCAGATACACTCTGGTCCATGAACTGTCATCTATCTATCTATCTGTTCACCTATCTATCCATCTGTCTGTCTGTCTATCTATCTATCTATCTATCTATCTATCTATCTGTGTCTCTATATATACATACATATATATATATATATATATATGCCTATTGATCTATCGATTGATCTACCTGTCCATCTCTCTATCTCTCTATTTTCATTTTTTGTCCTCTTCAGCATATGACAGGCATTCAGTATGTGAATGCAGCATATCTGAAGCATGTTGTGAACCCTAGAACACTTTTTGGCCATACATCAGCCTAATTAGTCTAAATGTATTTTATAAGCTTTTGCTCAGACTCTCAATGGAAACTCTATATCATTCATCTCAAGTAACAGGATTTTAAATTATTTAAACCTCACATTGGTTTTATAGGATCCCCTGAGACTCTTTTTGAAGAGCTAGCAATTTTTTTTTCACATCACAGATTTAAATGTTCTTTGTAACCAAAACAAATCATCTCATTTCAGAAAAAAATAAACACACTCTTATATGGAGCATTATCATTTTATAGATTTACAAATTATTTCCACGTTTCTCTAAACAAGCACATTTGGAAGTTGTGATTGCCCAAGATGTAATGACTTATGTCTTTTAAAATTTGATGGATGAGTCCTTTATCTATCCAACCATATACTTTAAATGCCTGAATGTAATTTCCTGATATGTTTTCATAACACTGAACTGAGAACAAAATTATATTTTCTTTATAATACTTCAAAGTTTTAACTACTTCTCTGCCTATTTTAGTCAACAATTGCACTTTATTTTTCTCCAGGGCAATTGAATTTTTCAGTGATCAGTATTATTCTTGATACAGAAATTTGGTTTATACTGGCACCAAAGGAGCAATTTTCCTATGTTGTGACTCAAAAAAAAAGCATTCCAGAAAGAAGGAAGGAAAAAAATCTAATGTGAAATAAAACACAGCAAATATTTTTAAAACATAAATTACAAGAAATTTGATTACTTATGTTTACCTGACTTTGAAAAAGTTAACAGAAACTGATGAGTATATGATATAAACATAATACATATTTCTTGCAGGTGAAATGTGACCAGTATTGGCCCAGCAGAGGCACAGAAACATATGGGCTGATTCAGGTGACGCTGCTAGATACTGTGGAATTGGCAACATATTGTGTTCGAACATTTGCACTTTACAAGGTGTGTTTTTTCCCTTTCCTCTTCCCTTTTCTGTTATTTAAAGAAAGCTTCTTTTGAGAAATCAGATCTCTTAAGGTTTTACTTAAATCTTGATCCCACTGGCAACAGTGAAGAATGAAATAATTCTTCCACTATCACGGTGCAATTTTTCTCCTTGTCTGGAGGTTTATCATAGTAAACACGGAGCTCTCACTCTGAACAAAAGTTTAGTTGAATGAAGAATTAGCTGAAGAACTCAGATTCTTTGCCAACTCCTCTTCAGAAATGTAATAGAAGCTCTCCTGATGTTTGAACCAGAAAATGCAATTTCTATCTCTTAAGAAATATTTTCCCTAGAAAATGTTTGCAGTTTTCTTGTTGTTTACTTGAACCTCAAAAAGAATACCTGTTACTAATAGAGATATAACCATCACCAACATTGACTCTCAGGCCTTTTCTGATGTTTTGCTCCTCATTGGAGCCCAAGGTGTGGGAAATGGTCATTTTAGCCAGTGTTCTCATTCAACAGAATGGTTCAAGTGAGAAGAGAGAAGTGAGGCAGTTCCAGTTCACAGCGTGGCCAGATCATGGGGTACCAGAGCATCCAACACCTTTCCTAGCTTTCTTGCGACGAGTCAAAACCTGTAACCCTCCAGATGCTGGTCCTATGGTTGTTCACTGTAGGTAAGCCCTATGCAGATTTGTGATAGATGCACTCAAATGAAGACCTCAAAAAGAGAGATGGTAACCTAGATTTTAATTTTGCCCTAATTGATAACAGATGTTAACAAGAGGTTGCATGGGTATGCTGAATATTGTTGTTGCTGTTGTTGTTTTACAAACTCTTAGTACATTGGATCTGATAAAGACTTTGAAATTAAGAACATGAATGCCTTGTTTATCTCTCTTTAGACCAAATAAAGTTCATTACTGAAGGGCAGATCAAGCTATTTGTTTCTTATAGTAGGCCTCTCCAGGAATCTAAGAAGGTAATATAAAACAAAATAAGAATTAAGAGAAATGGGAAGAAGTCAACTTTAGCTCAGAGGAACAAAGAAGGCTTCATGGACGTTGTAAGATCTGAGTTAGGTATTGAATAAAGAGAAAAAAAATCAACAAATAGACATATAGGGGATGTTCTGGGCAAATTCATGAAGGCAGGAGATGGCAGAACAGAACTGAAGAACTGTCATCCAGCATGGTTGGACTGTACTCTTTATGAAGAGGAGTAGAATGAAATCAACCTGAAGAGGTAAACTGGAGTCAGACTATGAAAAGCCTAGATTGCCAGGAGGAGATTGCGTTTTATTCCGTGGGCTAGGGGTTCTTGACCTTTTTTGTATCATGGACATCTTTGGCAGTCTGGTGAAGCCTAAAAACTCCTTCTAAGAATAATGCTTTTAAGTGCATGCATACTATAATATTACAAATGAAACCAATTATATTTGAAAAATAGTCATCAAAATGATACAAAAAGATTCTTGATCTCCTGAAATCTATCCATAAACCTCTTAGGTATCTATGGACCCTACATTGAGAAACCTTGCTATATATAATGAGAGTGATGTGGTGGGGGAAAACCTAAAAACAAGGAATCTTGCCTTGGTATGAAGCATGGAATAGTATAAAGGATGCACTGGAGGGAGGAGAAATTAAAGGCAGTAAAAGTTATTGGTAGCCTATTAATAATAATATAAGTGAGAGATGAGGGTCTGAACTAAGATGTCATGGAGAAGGATAGAAAGCACAATGTGAATACAAGAACTATTTCTGGAGTCAAATTGATAACTTTTGTTAAATGATTGAATTTGGGGAGGAAGAATGAAAGATGCAGAATGTGTCTCAGGAACATACCTACCTTCTCAGTGAGAAATGGGAAACTACAGGTACTGGATGTTATATACTCTATCATGTGGTCACTATGTTAGGATTTCTTTTAGTGAAAGTATAGGGTTCTGGGGAAAAGATATCATGAAATGTCTGTTGTTTAAAAAAAAAGTTTCATTAATTTAAAAGAAAAAACTTTGAGGTTTCTAAGCTGAAACACCAAGAAGCTAGTGTTGCCATCACCACAAATAGAAAAGTTAGGAGCACAGCCAGGCTTTGAAGGATAGAGAATTGTAAACATTGGGGACTGAGTTGCTAGTGGGGCAACCAAATGGAAAAGATCTCTGTAGAGAGATGATAACTGAAGCTATAGAAGTAGATAGAATTGCCAAAGGAGAAAATGTAGATGGAGTAGAGGTAAGGGCCCAAGTCACAAGTATCTTGGGAGATGTCATATATAGGGAACAGGAGGAAGAAAAAAACTATCAAAGGATACAACCATGTTTTAGTCAGAGAAATAGGAACTGAACCTGAAAAGAGAAATATCACTAGTTGGGGCTGGGGTCCAGCTGATCACTTCTTGAGAATGTTGCATTATTGGTCAGGGCCAGTTGGACTAGATGGCCTCAAGGTCCTTGTTGCCACTACCAAAACTTCTATGATCCACTGATCTCTGAAATGCTAATGGTGAAATCTTCTCTATTCAACATATACCCTTGCTACAGCTGAGAAGAGGCAGGCAACAGTGTAAATGATGAATTATTAATTCTAGCATTAGCTACAATGGAACAGATAAAATAGCCATTGAAGGAATTTAGAGGAAATTTTACTGTGATGTCCTTTTTTTCCATTTGAATGAACCAGTATCAGTTCAAAAGCAAAGGCTAATATCTCTGCCAAGTGGATTCTATAAGAAGATTGGAAGTTTTCAAAGGAATCAGTTTGGAGCAAGGAATGGAAGAAATGAAAGGGCAGAAAAGGGAAATGAAAGTGCTCAGAGAAAATTAATGTATATCTAACGGTTATGTCTCCTATCTGGCAATTAATATACTGGGAGAAAAGAGCCAATAAGAATGAAAGGAGGAATTCTGAAAAGTAATCAAGAGCAAGGAAGAGTCACAGGGAAGGTATAAAACAACGAACAAACACAGACAGATTGAAAAGATTAAGGTTTAGGATAAGAGACACATCGATTTCTTTAATAAAAAAATGAAAATAATTTTACATATAGAAGGTAAAGCAAACATGAAATAGGAATAGGTTCCAACTTACTAATGAGTTATGATTCTAAAGTTAATTTCTAACTTGATTGTTTGGAACTTGCAGCACATTTTTATATAAAAACAATATTCTAAATGGTTAGGTTCCAAGAACACACCACAAAGGCCGATTTCATCCATTATTTAGTTCAGTTCAGTAAACATGTACATAAGTAAATACCTGTACATTGTACTAAGTACTAGGAAAGATAGAAACATAAAGAAGTCATCATTCTTCTCCTCAAGGAGTTTACCATCCCACATGAAAATAAAATCTTACAAATATTTGTACAAAATAGAAGGTCATAATAGCATACAAGAGGGGGGAAATGTATTTTGAGAGTTCTTAGGAAGGAAAGATTTTTTCTAAGAGAATCACTGAAATCTTAATTGCCATGCCATTTGAGGGGTATCTTGAGATGGGTAGGATTTAAATGGGTAGAGAGGGTCTGCATTAATAGTATAGTGTTGTTGTTATAGGAAAACTTAGTAGAGGTTCCAACTTCTTTCTTTCTTTCTTTCTTTCTTTCTTTCTTTCTTTCTTTCTTTCTTTCTTTCTTTCTTTCTTTCTTTCGGCAATTAGGGTTAAGTGACTTGCCCAGGATCACACAGCTAGTAAGTGTCTAAGGCCGGATTTGAACTCGGGTCCTCCTGAGTCCATGGCTGGTGCTTTATCCACTGTGCCACCTAGCTGCCCCCTCAACTTCTTTTTACTCTACTTGTTGAGAGTGAGGCCCTGTCTTCCCCAATTCCTGAACCAACTTTAGCCATCTGGAGGGTGTAGACAGTGGAAAAGTGGTCTTAGGCAATGAGGAGGGCCTGAACATGAAGCCTTGGTTGTAGGATCCATGTCTCTATAGAGAAGTGACAGCTTGGGTTTCTGGAGCGATTAAATGTTCCAGTTGAAGATAATGGATGCCTATGGAGAAAAGTAGATAGAATACGGGCAAAGGGACAAAGTAGATAAAATATGAGCAGTATCTCAAAAAAGACATTCTTGAAGGTACTGGCAATTGGGAAGAAAGAAGGGTTCTTCATTCTACTTCAGAGGGCATTTAATTCCTTGTTTTTGTTGCTATTTACATAAAAGGACATTTCTAAAGTGGGGCTCTCTGTAATCAAAAACGTAGGGAATAAGATGTTAAAAATTGTTAAAAGGCTTTTTAAAGTACCGAAGAAGAGGTTTTATGAGTGGAAATTATTTTTTTCTTTGTATGGTACCAGAATCTAGTTGTCTTTATGACAACAGACATCCAGATAAAATTGGAAAGTTCAATCAAATATGTATTCAGTCTTCATCATGACAACCCACCCCCCCCAAAAAATAAAAAATCTGAAATATTCAAATGTTATCCAAATTGTTTATTTCAGATATTTGATATTATGTAGAATCCATTGAACTTCTTAGTAAGAAGCTTAATAAAAACTATAGCATCTTACATCAATTGATCAAAAAGTATTCATTAAGCATCTATTATGTTCCACACACTGTGCTAGGATCTTGAAATATAAATACAAAAGATATTCCCTATCCTCAAGGAATTTACATTCCCCATTTACACAGGACTTTATAGTTACATGAATTACTAGAGATATTATGCAAGATATCATCTTCTGGTATGAATCATATATGATTGGAAAAGGAGGTAGACTCGTCATGTATCAGGCATCAAGAATAACAGATGAATAGTCCAATTCCTATACTGAATTCTATAACATACTTCTTTTAAAAGTCTAAAAGAAGTACTGTAGCCTATAAAGCTTAGTACTAGGCAGCAGTAGTGGAATATTGGACCTGAAGTCAAGAAGACCTAAGTTTAAATCCTGGATACCTACTATCTTTGTGGCCCTAGGAAAGTTATTTAACCTCTGTTTCCCTCAGTTTCTAAATCTGTAAAATGAAGAGTAATAATAGCCCTTAACTCCCAGGTTTGTTGTGAGGATGAAATGAAGTATTTGCAATGGGCTTTACAAACCATAAAGTATATAAATGTTAACAATCAGTTTTATTATCATCATTACCATTCTTCCTCTTCTTTTCTTTCTCTTCTTTCTCCTCCTACTCTTCCTCCTCTTTCTTCTTCTTCCTCTTCTTCTTCTTCTTCTTCTTCTTCTTCTTCTTCTTCTTCTCCTTTCCTTCTCTTCTTCTTCTTCTTCTTCTTCTTCTTTTCTTCTTCTTCTTCTTCTTCTTCTTCTTCTTCTTCTTCTTCTTCTTCTTCTTCTTCTTCTTCTTCTTCATTATATCCTATATGAATTAGAAGGCATGGGTTGTGTGGCAGTCAGTGCCAGTGAAAGGAGTATCTATTCAAATCGACTTCATCTCAAGTAAATAAACATTTATTAAGTACATCCTCTGCTCTAGTAACTGAGGATACAAAAACAAAGTTAAGTTCCCTGTCCTTAAACAGCTTTATTCTACTAAGGGGATACAACAGTTAGACACAGATAAGTAATGAAAAATAATTAAGGAGGAATAGAGTATAAATTTAAGGAGGGAATGTCAGGGAAGACTTCACACTGAAAACATCTGATCTGAGTTGAGCTAGTTGAGTTGGGCAAAAAGAGGACAGAGCTAATAAAAACACAGTTTCTTATGAG